CCTTCCCCGATAGCCCCAGACACACCTGTTCCCTCAGTCACTGCTGCAATCAGATCGGTCTTCCTGGGAGACAACCCAAGGAAAGCGACAGGTCGCGACAGTGTCACCGGCCGAGCACTCAGATCCTGCGTGGACCAACTGGCGGAGGTATTCACCAATATCTTCAACCACTCCCTCCTACAAGCCAAAGACCCACCTGCTTCAAGAAGACCACTATCATCCCTGAACCTAAGAAAACACACGCAGTGTGCCTTAATAACTACCTCCCAATAGCTCTAACCTCCATGATCATGAAGTGCTTTGAAAGTCTAGTCATGGCCCACATCAACTCCAGTCTCCCTGTCTGCCTCGATCCCCTACAGTTTGCCTATTGACATAACAGGTCCACAAAGGATGCCATATCCCTAGCCCTGCACTCATCCCTGGAACATCTGGTCAACAAGGACACCTACATCAGACTCCTGCTCATTAATTACAGCTCTGCCTTCATCACATTACTGCCTCCAGACTGATCTCAAAACTGTGTGACCTTGGTCTCAGCTCTGCCCTCTGAAACTGGATCCTCAGCTTTCTAACCCATAGGCCACAATCAGTGAGGATAGGTAACCCCACCTCCTCCACAATATCACTCAACACTGAAGTCCCCCAAGGATGCATCCTCAGCCCCCTGCTGTACACCCTGTACACCCACTACTGTGTTGCCAAATTCCAAACAAACATCATCTACACATTCGTTGACGACACCATTGTAGCAGGACAGATACATACATAACAACGATCAGTCAAAATATGCAAGGGAGATAGAGGGCTCGGTTACATGGTGCGATGAGAACAACCCCTCTTTCAACGTCAGCAAAACTAAAGAACTGATCATTGACTTCAGAAAGAAAGGAGGAGAACACGCTCCCCTCTACACCAACAGAACAGAGTGATAATAACCGATAACCTGTCCTGGATTTCCCATGTAGATGCGACAGTCAAGACGGCATAACAATGCCTCTTCCTCCTCAGGCGGTTCATGAAATTTAGCATGTCCATAAGGTCCCTCACCAACTTCTACAGATGTACCACTGAAAACATACTGTCCAGGTGCATAATGGCCTGGTATGGCTATTGCTCTGTCCAGGACCGTAAGAAATCACAGAAAGTGCACAGCCCAGACCATCACAGATGCCAACCTTCCATCCATGGACTCTATTTACATGGCTTACTGCTGTGGGAAGGCTGCCAACATCGAAGTCCCATTGCTCCCTGGTAATGATCTCCTATAACCCCTGCCGTCAGGAAGATACAGAAGCCTGAACACACGCACCAACAGGTTCAGGGATAGCTTCTTCCCAGCTGTTATTAGGCTGATGAATGGACTCTCTAGCCTCAAATAATACTGATCTTGTTAACATTGATCTCGCCTAGCACATGCCCTTTGCAATGTAACCTGCATACCTCTGCTGAAGTATTTTTATAACTACTGATCTGTACATCCTTGCTTACGATGATCTGCCTGTACTGCTCGTAAACAAAGCTTTTCACTGTAATCCAGTACACGTGACAATAAATCAACCAACCAAAGTGGCTAACTGCACATTTCTTTATAGTATATGCCGTTTGCCACATTCCTGTCCACATACTGAACACGTTTTTATACCTGTGCAACCTTAGATTCTTCTCAATATTACCTTTCTCTTGGATTCATCACAGTTAGAATCCTCTTGTAAGTCAGGTTGCTCCTGTAGCTACAGCCTGCCAAATCAAATTTGACCCATTTATCAAAAATCAAAAGAACTGCAGATGCTGTAAATCAGGAACAAGAACAGAAGTTGCTGGAAAAGCTCAGCAGGTCTGGCAGCATCTGTGAAGAAAAAGTCAGAGTTAACGTTTCAGGTCCGGTGATCCTGAGGAACGATCCCGAAACGTTAACTCTGACTTTTTCTTCACAGATGCTGCCAGACCTGCTGCACTTTTCCAGCAACTTCTGTTTTTGACCCATTTATTCCTACTCTGCAAGATCACCAGAAGTTTGATCAAAGAGGTAATTTGGAAGGACTGTAGTAAATAAGATTAAAAAAAAAGGTAGAGGTGAACAGGTTTAGGGAGGCAGTTCCAGGGGTTAGGATGTCAATGTTTGAAGAAGTGTCAAAGTTGAAGCAAAAGAGATTAAATATGGAAGAAGAGATATCTTGGAGCATTGTAGGAACTGGAGGAGATTTCAAAAGGAGAGAAAGGTGAGATACTGAAGCAATCGGATAACAAAGTTTAAAATTTAAAATTGAGACATTGCTTGAAGGCTGCCAACGTAGGTCAGTAAGCAAGTAATGCAAGGTAGAACACAGGCAACAGAGATTTCCATGATTAAAAAGGTCACAATTTGAAAGGGGTCAGAGTTCTGCTGGAATAGTCAAGTCGAGTGAATGTAACAATGTCACAAATAAGTGTTTCAGCAGAAAATGAATGAGTTGGAGTGGAGTCAGGTGATGTGGAAACGGGCAATATTAATGATGTGAGATCGCAAGCTCATCTCTGCTTCAAATATACAACCAAAGTTGCAAAGAATCAGGGATAGGAGGAACTGCAGATGCTGGAGAATCTGAGATAACAAGATGTAGAGCTGGATGAACACAGCAGGCCAAGCAGCATCAGAGGAGCAGGAAAGCTGACGTTTCGGGCCTAGACCCTTCTTCAGAAAAGACCTTCTGAAGAAGGGTCTAGGCTTGCAAAGAATCAAACAGTTACCAGAAAGAGGGATGGAAATGGAACATGGAGAGCGGAGTTTGCGGCTAATTGTCCAGAAAACCCTTTAACATTTCGCACATACGGGTGTTATGATGAAAACATCTGTTGGCCATTCTAATACTGGGTTTAGCAACACTGCAATTTCTGGAAGCTGCAGCATCATGGTCCGCAGTAATTATGAAACACAGGGAAACAGCTCCATGTTTTTAAAACAGCTAGATTTGAGGGAGAAACAAAGGTAGTCAGTGACAACCTTGGGAAAAATTGGAGCTGAAAAATCAGTACAACTCATTGTAGATATATGGAGCTACACTTGCTGGAGTTTTAGACAAATGAAAGGCACGGTGGCTCAGTGGTAAGCACTGTGCCTCACAGCACCAGGGACCTGGGTTCAATTCCAGCCTTGGGTGACTGTCTGGGTGGGGCTTGTACATTCTCCCCGTGTCTGAGAGAGTTTCCTCCGGGTGCTCCAGTTTCCTCCCACAGTCCAAAGATGTGCACGTTAGGTGGCTTAGCCAGGCTAAATTGCCTGTAGTGTGCAGGCTAGATGGGTTAGTCATGGGAAATGCAGGGTTATAGGGATAGGGTAGGCGGTGGGTCTGGGTGGGATGCTCTTTGGAGGGTCAATGGACCAAATGGCCTACTTCCACACTGTAGGGATGCTATGGTCTATGGTTATTGAGACAGATTAGATTCTCAGGGGGATTGACAGGCTGTAATGGGGAGGTTGTTTCCCCTTGTGGGAGGATCCAGGAAAACTGGGCATAAGCTTAGAGTCAGGGGTCACTTATTTAAGACAGAGATGAGGAGAAATATTTTTTCTTGCAGCGGGTAGTGAATCTATGGATTTTTTTTAAAACAGTAGAAAGGTTGATAAAGCTGGATCATTAAGTATATAAAAGGGGCTGAGATAGACGGATGTTTAATATGCAAGGTAATCATGGGACGTGAGAAAGACAGGACAGTAGGATTGAGATTACCAGATTGGTCATGATCTCATCGAATGGCCTTTTTTCACTCCTACATCTTATGGCCTTACAGGAATTCCATGGAATGGAAGCAAGTGATGTAACGTACACCAAAAGTGGCAAGTCAATCCCAGTCAATATTTGAAAACAATCTGCATAGGGTGAGCCCTGAAGTCATTTTACCACAATGACTGTGCGATGCTCACTCCTGATACTATCATTGGTAGAAGCATCCTGCCATAGGTAGATTAGTAATGATAAAGTCAAGCAGATTTGTCTCTCGTTCCCCATCACCATCAGATCGTTGCTAGGGAGAGGAACAGAATTGGTAGGAGGGAAGCAGGACCGAAAATAGTCTTCCCAATACTTATTTACAGAAAATCTCTACTAATTCAACATTGGACATTTATCAAGGAATCTGATCATTTAGCAACTGGGGATGAGACGAGAGATATGATAATCAAGTAGAATTAGCTGTCGCCAAAACCAATATTATGCCTTCAAATGATGTTGCTGAGGTATGCTTTACAGATGAGAAATAGGAGGAGCCAAGGATAGACAATGGAAGTAACAGTGTTGGACCTGACAGAGAAGCCACAAGTGATTCTCTGACAATGGTGAGATTGACTATAATGAAAGCAGCGGTGTTCACAGTGGAGAGTAGAGAGGTACTACAGACAGATGGTGTGGTCAACCATGTCAAAGGTTGCAAACAGATTGACAAGGTTGAGCAGGGGAAGTTTACCTTTCCTCATGATCACACGGGACATCTTTTGTGATTGATAAAAATTCGCAGTCATCAATGCTTCATCTCATTACATACAACTTACATTCAATAATATGTCAAGCGCCACACCTTGAGTAAAATTTTGACAAAACAACCAATTCTAGTTGAATACAAGCTGTCCCTGTGAATGGGTCTGGCTCCTAAGCCCATTTGCAAGTTAATTTAAGCATAAGTCGGAACACAATGCAAGACAATATACAGTAGTCATTTGTAAGTATAAGCAATGTTCATACATCAGATCTTTATAATTACATGCCTGTACGAAATCACTTTCACGAGTGTTCGTGAATTGAATGCTCATAATTTGGGGAGCCCGTGACCATCTTGCTCAGTAGCAAGTGTAAGACAGTACTTGCCCTCGAAATTTGGCTGCTCACTGTGGAAAACTAGCTCATTTCTTTTTCTGCCTCTCCAGTTGAGACCAAGAATGAACAGCAAACATATCACTGCCTCATACATTATCAAGTGTTTCAGCACATACAAGCAGAATTTGATTTTGGAACCTCATCACTTACCTCTGTCAACATTAGCCCGTAAAGACGTCAACATTCCTTCTGACACCAAAGTCTTGTACAGAGCACCTTTACATGATCGTTCAGATTTTCTGGACCCAGATGCTTCTGTCTTTTTACTGATTTCCTTGTTCTCAGCTTTCACTTCACTTAGTGCATTATGCGAAAGTAGTTGCTCAGTGACAGAAAAAGTTTCAGTTTTGATTGGGCTGCTGGTAACTTTCTCAAGATCAGAAACCTTTGAATGTTTGTTGAGTTCTGAAATCTTTTCAGCGGGTAATTTTATTGGTTTTGGTTTCATCTTTTTCTTTGGTGGGCTGGAGACAGAGTGTAACAGATTTTCCGTTGACTTTGCTGAGCATCGTGCACTTTTCACTGGGCTTCCTGAAGGTTTCTCAGTGCCCCAGTCCCCCTTAGCAACAGCATCAATCGTGTACATTAAGCTTTCCATGTCAGACTCTGATGATTTCCGTTTTTTCCCGCTTTTTTTAAATGTCTGTTTTTCAGCTTTGGTAGTTTCAAGTTTAACCTTTTTCTTCTTCTTCTTCTTAACTTTTTCACTTTTATTAAGACTTGTCACAGAAGTGTCAGTTAACAAGGGCAATGATTTGTCATTAGTAATCCAGTCCTGTGGCTTAATACCATTATTATCCTTTGTAGTTAACCCAGGATTTATGGTGGGCATCTCAGGTGTATGGCTATCCTTTGAGGTACATGTGGTGGGCTCTGATTTTACTCCTTCTGTTACCAACCGGTCCGAACACATCTGAAGCAAAACCAGGAGTTACAATTAAACAGAACTGCAGAGGATCATACCGGGGAAAAAAATCAGTCATTTAAAATAATTGTGCAAAGATGGCTGCTCACTCAGGTTGGGTCTATTATTCGAGGTTTCACCACATGATCGTGCATCTCCAATCATCTCACCAAGTCTAAGAGCCTCCCAACCACATTCCTCATCACATCACTATCCTTATTGTTTATAACTAATAAGTACGTTTAAAAAATGAAGACTCTATGTGCCAATCGCGAGTCTGTTGGTATCATCACATATCTGAGTGAGTTCAAGTTACAGTCTAGAACGTCGATACAAAAGTCATGGCTGATGCTCCAGTGTGTTACTGAGAGAGCACCGCACTGTTGGGAGTGCCATCTAATAATAAGACCATAAAACCAGGCTCCATTTGTCTTCACAGGTGGTACTCCTTTGATGATGATCAAGGGAGGTGTCTTGGCCAATATCTATACTCAATCAACACCACAAAAATAGATAGGTGATTATTTTGTTGTCAACCTTCTGTGCTTGACCTATATTACAAGGAAATAAAAAGTACTTCTTTGGCTGTACTGCTTTGAAACATTTTGTGGTCATAAAAGGCACTCTACAAATGCACGACCTTCTCTTTTCTCTGATGTTACATCAGCTCATTGCACTAGTTCTAACTAACATCATCGTAACAACAATGCATCGTAATACCATTATTAGATCCAACAAATTCTTGTTCAAAATTAGGCAGAGATGAATGCCAAATGACATTTTTATGAATTCTGAGGAATTGCAACTAAGCTCACTTCAGGATAAAAAGATTAATGTCCAAACAGAGTCAGCATCACAGGAAATATTTACTTAGCAATTGAACTGGAGGAGGAGCAGAACCATCAACCGACAATATGATTTTATATTGGATGACAGCTAAGTTTAATTATTTTCTTTAAGCATTTATGATCATAGCTAAATCAATAGAAGCTATAAACTGTCACCTAAGTTTGATGAAATTTGACATCCCTTTGCATTTAGTATATGCATTGCCAAAACCACAATCTAAGTCCAAGAAGACAAGAAAATAAAAAGTGAATGTTCAAAATACATCAAGGGTTTACTTGACTTGGGTAGTCAAGTTAATAAATTGAATATCAATCCAGTGTTCTACCAACTGCAAAATATTCTGAAATATTTTAGATTTTATTTTTTATCTGTGTTTGCATGAAGAAGATTTTCTTCTCATAAGGATGTACAAATGCACGATCTCTTGAATCCTATGACCTACAAACCTCAAACGTGAGTGGTTTACACACTGACAAGGCAACCTACTTTCTTTTAGAACACTAAATTCACACACTCATTTCAATAAAATACAAAGCCATTTCTGGGACTAACATAAACGTCTTTCTTTATACGTTATTCAAGTGTCAGGAAGCATACCTCTGCTAACTGAAACAATGCTGAATTCCCACACTGCTTGGTTGAGTCAGGGACTCCTGACTGTGTTGTATTGGAGGAAATCTGTACAAAGAAAAAATAAGTTTCAACTGAACAATTATAGCCTTCACTACAATTATTACATTTCTCAGAAGAGAAAAGAAAGAATCATAGACTGTGTCAGGAAATAGAAATTACATGTTGAACACTTAATCATCAGGATTGGCTAAGTGGGAGCTCAATTACAAAACCTTATTAAGAGCAGGCAAAGTCTTTATCAAGTGCCATCTATTATTTTGCTACTGCCTTTACAACCTCACAGAGAGAATTTGTAATGTGTAGCAATATTCCTACATAATGCTCTGAAGACTTTAGATCACAAAAATGATTAACTCTGGAGTTTCAAAGATTGTGGATATCTAGATTATTCTTCTTCTTTAAAAAGGTCAATGAAAGGATACAAGAACATTATTTAACAAGGCATTGCTAGGTACTCACATATTCTGTGATAACAGCTTCAGTTTATATCTGTCAGGTTTCAGTGTCCACTTTGGGTATTGTTTGAAATAGCTGGTGACGAGTTCGTGACCAACAAAATCTTTGTTGTGAATCTAGTGTGAAATCTGAATGTCTAACTGAAAAGCATCCAAAAGAACTCAAGATACTGTGTTTCCTAGGGAAGCTGCATTTGCAAAGATCCCAAAGACAATTGCCTTTGTTTGATGACATGCAACTACACATAAGGGCACGGTGGCTTAGTGACCAACACTGCTGCCTCACAGCACCAGGGACACGGGTTCAATTCCATCCTCAGGTGACCATCTGTGTAGAGTTTGCACATTCTCCCCCTATCTGTGTGGGCTTCCTCCGGGTGCTCTGGTTTTCTCCCATGGTCCAAAGATGTGTAGGTTAGGTGGGCTGGCCATGCTAAATTATCCATAGTGTCCAGGGATGTGCAGGCTAGGTGGACTAGGCATAGGAAATTCAGGGTTACAAGGATAGGGTGTGTCTGGGTGGGATGCTTTTCAGAGGGTTGATGTGGACTCAATGGGCTGAATGGCCTGAATCCACGCTGTAGGGTTTCTATGATTCTACACATGCCAGAACATCAGATTGACAGTCATCTTTAGTCATTTCACACTCTTTACTTTTTGCCTTCAACAGCTAACCATCATTGGCCAAAAATGCTTTTACCCCTAAAGTCAATTACAGCAGATAGGGAGGCATTCAATTTTTTGCCCTTTCCTGGTGTGAACAGGTTTGCAAATGCTTTGCGATATTTAGAAGGTTGATATTTGTATTTTCGAACTGTATTTTAATCAGCTTTACATTTTTGCCAAATAAATCATATTTTCACAATAAAGTAATACTCTTGTCATTTGAGAAAATTAGTTGATGGATCTTTTTATTCTAAACCTAACATAGATAAAATTGGCCATGGTGATAAAACATTTCCAGTGATGTTGTAGGCAGCATAATAGTGGGATTAAACAGGGATACAGTGCATTCTAATTGCGTCAGTCATAGTAAAATTTTCTATCACCCAGGAAATGGCTGAACCATGAAATATTGGTAATTAGACCAAAATTTGAAACTATTCTGAATTTCCAGATGCCCACCATTCGAAAGAACTGAATACTCTTGAACCTTAAGATAGTAAAGAGTGGCAGGGAGACCGACGTGCAAAGGTTTTAGCCTGAGTGCCTGCATAAATAATGACAGCACTACAATGTTGTTAATGCTATCAGATTCATAATGTCATTTTACACCAGTATTCTCAATCCTGCCTGAATAAATGAAGACTCTGTTAGCTACTGAAAAGCCATTTCCAGTGGAAAATATATAACAACCTTTCCTAAAATATTAGTCAATGAAGGCTACATCTAGAGTTCAGCACAATCTGTGTTTGACCATAAACCCCAGACAATTGCCCTAGCACCTGCTGACAAATTGAATTTTTTCCATTTTCTTTGTTACTGAAAACACATATCAGTAAGCTTCAAGATTGATAGAGTATGAGTTTAAAGTCCAGCAAACATTCAAAAGTGGCAAATCTTTCTGCTGTGTGTTGACAGATGTGCTGTTCTTAGTAGGAAAGGAAAAAAACTCCAGGACAGGGCACATTTCTTGCAGTGGAATGGAGAAACAGCATGTGAAAACTAAGCGCTTTAAAAAGGCAAAGTAGCACCCTCTACTAATTTTTTTTTCTTTATTCATTCACGGGATGAGGGCGTTGCTGCCTAGGCAGCATTTATTGCCCATCCCTAATTGTCCAGGGAGCAATTAAGCATCAACCACATTGCTGTGGGTCAGGAGTCACACGTAGGCCAGACCAGGTAAGGATGAGCAGCTTCCTTCCCTAAAGGGCATCAGTGAACCAGATGGGTTTTTCCAACAATCGACAACGGATTCACGGTCATCATTAGATTCTTAATTGCAGATATTTTATTGAATTCAAATTCCACCATCTGCCCATGGCAGGATTCAAACCCAGGTCCCCAGGGCACTATCTGGGTCTCTGGATTAATAGTCGAGTGATAATACCACTAGGCCATCACCTCCCTATTGGAACTGTAATGCTTTATTCTAGGCAAATAAAATTAAAAATAAATGATGCACAATTTTAACAGTAGGAAAATGTAGTCCACACACTGAAACAGAGCTGAACAGTGTGCAGACAGAGAGCTGTCGGGAGCTAGAATTCGATTTCCAAGAAATGTTTGAGAGCAACAAGTTTATCATCAAGGACATAGTTTGTTTAATGTGAATTTATCTGTAAAACAACTGTGCCACCATAATTCAAAATTTCACTTTATTATTCAGAATCATAAGCCACTTCAGCTGTTTTTACAGTATTTTTAAGTTTTAGACTAAAAGGCAAAACTAACAGCATAATGAATGCAGCAACAATGCATGCTTAAGTGCAGAAACATATAACATTATTAGTCCATCTCACGTTCCAATACCAACTTTGAAAAGTAGTTTGTGTGTACAACAACGTCAAAGTCAATCGTATCAAGTTACCTCCTTTGCTGTCAAGGCATGTTCTCCTGCTAAGAGCAGCATGCTGAGTCCTCCCATTTGAGTGGGATCTATCAGTAAAGAGATATATGCAGTTGTTAATCTTTCCTTAAGTTATTCCATTTTAATACGACCTTGTATCTCTAAGCAATGGTTTAATGGCCTAAGTGTATCATGAAACACTCTGAAGTACATCACTAATGTAAAGAAATGCAGCGACCATGCTGGGCATAGACAAGAAAGACCACAAGTTACATTCTTCAGTCAACTGACTGAACTTTGCCAGGAAAGCTGTGGGTGTCAGTGGATAGGAAGGTGGAAATCTGAGCTCAGAGTTCTCACTCATTATTGTAATCTCACTACCTGCATTAGAAAACTGTTACGTAAACACGTCAGGCGAAATCAAGATTAGATCATGTCGTGGATGCCCATCAGGAACAGCTTTCGAATACAGACTGCTATATGACATTCATAAATAATAGAACAGTCACTGAAAATAAACAGATCACGTTGTGAAAATGTACTCTCATGTTCTGGGAGATTCTACTTTCTGTCTCATGATTACAAAGAAGTCAGTGCAGCAACTAATGGCCAAGGTGTGGATTCCAATCTTTTTATTCTTTTCAAACACACAGACGTCAATGACGAGTTCAACATTTAATCTCCAACTGCCCCTGTTAAATGGTGGTAAGTCAAGTTCCGAAGTTTCGTATACATCACTGAAATGAATTCATATTGAGAAAAGAGTTTTTCTGATTCAGAGCACAGGAATAGGCCATCCAGCCCATTGAGCCTGTTCTACTATTTAATGCAATTTTGGCTGATTGAAAATTTCAATCTTTTACCTACACTATCCATATAACCCTATAGACCCTTGGTAATCATTAACCTATCAACTTGTACTTAAATTTATTTAAAGACCGAGCTTCCACAGCTCTCTGGAGTAGAGAATTCCAAAGACTCTCAATCTTCCAAATATTTAAAAAAATTATCCACTCACCTTGTTGCAAAATGGCATTCCCCTTATTTTCAGGTTGTATGCCCTGGTTTTAAACTCTGCAACCAGGGAAATATCTTTCCCTGCCTAGCCCTTTAAACACTCTGTAGGTTTGGATGAAATCACCTTCTATTTTTTAAAGCTCTGGACAATACAGGCCCAGTTTGCCCAATCTCTCTTCATAGACAGTCCGGCCATCGCAGGAAACAGTCTGGTGAACCTCTGTTGCATTTCCTTCTATGGCAGCAACATTCTTCCTAAGGTCAGGAAACCAAATGTGCACACAGGTGCGGTCTAACCAAGCTCCTGTACAATCAAAGCAAGATTTCACTTCTCATGTACTTAAATCTTCTTGTGATAAAGACTATCATACCACTAGCCTTGCTAACACCTTGCTGCGCCTGCATGTTAGCCATCAGTTTCTGATAGACAAGGGCACCCAAGTCCCTTTATATAGCTACAGTTTATAACCTCCCACCGTTTAATAAATACTTGACATGTCTGTTCCACCTATTAAAGTGGGTAATCTCTCATTTTCCCACATCATGTTCCAGCTACTATATTCTTGCTCACTCACTAAGCTAATACAAATTCTCCTGAAGCCACTTTACATCTTCTTCAAAACATACTTTCTCACTTAGCTTCGTATCATACACAAAGTTAAAAATATTAGATTTGATCCTCACATCCAATCATTGATATATATTGTAAAAGCTGGAACACAAGTACTGATCCTTGCGATACCCCACTCGTCACTGTCTGTCAATATGTGAATGGCCAGTTTGTCCCTATTCTCTGTCTGTTAACCAATCCTTAATCCATGCCAGTACATTCCCTCCAAAACAACCTCCTGTAGGGGACCTTATCAAAGGCCAAATGAAAATTCAGGTATATCACATCCAATGACTCCACTTCATCAATTTTGTGAGTAACATCATCAAAAAAACTCCAACAGCTTTCTCAAACATGACTTCCCAATCACAAATCTATGCTGATTATGTCCAATCATTATTATTAATCAAATGTCTGTCTATCAGATTCTTGATCATAGATTGTAGCATTTTCACTATTACGGAGGTCAGGCTAACAGGTGTGTAGTTAATGTTCCCTTCAACTGTTTTTCCCACTGCATGGACCTCTGACACCCGTGTACAGCAGTGATTTCCAGAAGGAGAATCCAGTGCCTCAGTCTGCCAATTAGTGTGTATGCAACCTCCAAGCAGCCCTGCAACTTACAAGGAACATTGTTTGTAGTTCCTCATTTTCTTTCTCACTCCCTTCTTGAACAGTGAAATGACATTTGATAGTGTCTAACTCATCAACTGTCTCTATAGCTACCTCTTTTAACATTCTTGGGACTTAGTAACATCCAACCTAACTCATTGCTGTAGTACAACCTTCTTACTAGTGCTAATTTCCTTCAACTCATCATTTTCCTGAGTGACTTGGATCTCTAATTCTGGGAGATTTCTTGTAACTTCCTCAGTGAGAACAGATATAAAATAATCATTTAGCTTCCCCACCAATTCAATTTTGTTGGTTCAGCAATGCTAAAAAGATTTTTTGGAGGTGGGGCGGGGGGAAGAAAGAGAAAAAAAATGAAGAAACAGCTTTAGAGATCTTTAATGAAATGCTGAATTTATCATAGGTTTCATACATGTTTTATGGCTGCAATGTGTTAATGCACTAAATGTTTGCAATAAACACGTGAAGCCATTACAGTTATGATTGGAATTCTTTAAGTTATAAAAGGAGTCAGGATTTAAGTAAACTCATATCAATGTTGACTCAAGTTAACTCATTAATGGTATGGAACTGTAGGAAAAAGAGTCCTAGTCTTAAATATTTATGCACTTGTAACATGGTGTGATGTCTGAAGTATTAAACTGGAGAAGTGAGAAGCAAACCTGGAATTTGTCCCTATATATGTTGACAAAAGGTTCCTGTGAACTGAGCTTTGGGCCCAATTTTCTATAAAGTCAATGCGCTGCCCCTGCCACATTTGTGTCTATGATGCAGTGGACAGGTTGGTGGTTTTCTCAAGATTGGGTACCAAGGGTAGGTTGCAAAAGATCTGGAAATTCTGAGCAGTGTATTCAAAGTGCATAATCCCTGCTTTGGGCAAATTACTTCAGACTTCCAACAGAGCACTTACAGGAGTAGAATGGGCACAGGATATTGCTGACAGAAATTCATCCCACAGAAATTCACCACTCATATAACGCGTGTCATTTTCCCTTTTTAAAAAATATTAGACAGACTACAAATAAATTAATCCATGAAGCAGTATGGAGCAAATAAAAGGTGGAATGGAGTAGTCAATTGTTACTTACAAAATGCCATTGGAAAAATATCTGGGAGCAAGTCACCCATTAGGTCCCAAGGAGTAGGACATAGTGAGGACAGGGAGAGAAACTAAGGACAGGGAGACAACCTAAGTTCTAAACAAAAAGAAAACTAACTTTGTAAGGGGTAGTAGGAACTGCTGATGCCAGAAGGGATTTTGAAAGGGATTGCTTTCTCTAAACAAAGATGTCTTTGTTGCTAAGATGGTAAAATAATGATGGTCCTTTGTAAATCATCAATGGGATTTAGTACCTGCCATGGCAAAGTTGATTTGTGGCATTTCCTCAGCCTTTACCACCCTCTTGGCGATAGGAAACTCCTTTGTGGCTTCTGTTGGAAATGTCCAGAGCTTCTTCCTTGTTGTAACAGTTGGTGATGAACTCTTCAGTGGTTTGTTTGTTGTTGGACACCACTTATAACCAGGGTTAGCCTTCAGAAAAGCATCCTTATACTAAGGAAAAGATAACATTAGGAGTTAAGAGAAATAATCTAAAAGCATATTAAACTACAACTGCCACAATATACCACTGTTGACTAAAACCAGAAACATTCCCAAATCATGATAAACCTCAGCACAAATTTCAGAAAGCATTGTCCTGAGTGCAATTTTATTAAACACATGCACTCTAGAAAATGTCAATTTTTTTTATGACAGACATTTAAACTGTAAGCACAGTCCTACAGTCGATTGCATTTGAGTCTTTTGAGTCAATTACATCAGGTTACGAGGTGTCATGCTAATGGCTGCAATCACCTGTGACTTTGAACAGTCATTATCCAACAACTAGCAGCAAATACAAAAACGTGTAGCAAACAATGATCCAGGGGTTGCTTTCCAGTGAGCTGAGAGATCCTGGCTTTTGAGGTACAGAATTCTTAATACACCTTAAGTTTGATAGTTTGTAACAATGCAAGATGTGCATGGTTTGTTTGAAGAATTCAACTTAATGAGCTGAATTAACTCGCTATTCCTGCATGTATATGTATTTAAGCTGCTCACAACTAGATTCAGAATATAGGTAGTAGTTTCCAAGTGCCAAGACAGAATCAATCCAACTTCAAAGCAGATTACAGGGAATTAAGTATACTAACTCAGGTCACACATGCAGGTATGATGATTCACTTTGCCATCCCCAGTCTGTGGAAAAAAAAGTTTCTGATCTCTGACCAGTGTGTCCTTTCTGAATCAAGAAATAGAAAATGCTGGAGAAACTCAGCAGGTCTGGCATCATCTGTGGTGACAGAAACAGAGTTAATGTTTCAAGTCCAATGATTCTTCTTCAGACACCTGGTCACATTTCTTATGGTTTTTATCTTTAAAAACTTCCCTCAAAGGTAATCATTTTCTCACAATGAAAGACTGCTAAGTTATATTAAGTTGCATCCTTTTAATAAATAGACTCCCACCTTGAATAAATAAACACACAATGTCCCAACCACAAGATAAAGAAATAGCCAGTGGTAGATCTTAAAAGAAGTATCAATAAAAAATTCATTTTCATCGCTGCCTTTTTATTTAAAAAATCCAACCTTTATATTATTAAAAAACTCTTTCTATCTACCTTCGATTTAAAATAGATTATAAAAGCTTCTATTGATATGTAAAGTGAAACCTTTGGCAGGAGAAATGTGGGGTCCATTACAAACAAAGATGGTGAAAAGAGAAATGGTAGAGAAGCTAAATGATTACTGTGTGTCTGTCTTCACTGAGGATGATACAAAAACTCTCTCACAATTAGAGACATAAGGGATTGAAGAGAATAAGGAATTAAAAGAGATTAATAAGAAGGTTATGTTGAAGAAATTAATGAGATGAAAGTTGAGTAGTCCTTGGAACCTTACACTTCATACTTCAGAGTTTTGAAAGAGGTTGTTAGTGGATGCATTGGTCATCATCTTCCGCAATTCTATAGATTCTGGAGTGGCTCCTGCAAATTGGAATTTAGACAACATCACCCTGCTATAAGAAAGGAGAAAAAGAGGGAAAACAGGGCACTATGGGTCTGGATTAGCCTTACATCACTATAACCAGAATCTCCTCAAAACAGTGCATGAAATGCCCTATGTTGTAACAATTCTCTGATTCTATTAAAATCACAAGATACCAAAGTGTTATTACATAGAAAAAGGCCATTTGGCCCATCATGTCTGCACCAGCCCCTAAAAACAGTATCATTACTTACCACCAATCTCCTGCTTTCTCCCCATACCCTTGCACATATTTCTATGCAAATAATCATCCTATACCTTCTTGAATGTCTCAATTTCCAGGCAGTGAATTCCATATTATAATTACTCACTGTGTAAAAAGTTTTTTCTCACCTTGCTTTTGCTTCTTTTGTAAATCACTTCAAATCTGTGCCTTCAGGTTCTTGTGCTTTTACAAGGGGGAACAGTCTCTCCCTATCTACGTTATCCAGTCCCCTCATGATTTTGAAAACCTCGATCACATCTTCTCTCAGACTTCTTTTCTCTTGAAACTTTGAAACTGCACACCAACATCTAGATTATTAATAGATATCAGGAAAAGCAAGGGACCCAATACTGACCCCTGGGGAACTCCACAAAAAAACCTTCGCCAGCCGAAAGAATATCCAATGACCGGTACACATGGTCCTCTATCACTTAACCAATTTTCTACCCTTGTTGCATATGTCCTCTTTAATTCCATGACCGATAACCTTGTTCATAAATGTGTTACATTCCTTCAAAGAATTTCAGCATATAAAACTATACTGATCTTCCTAAGTAACCCACCTTTTTCCATGTGATTACTATCGATTATCCTGAATAATTGTTTACGGAAACTTCCCTACCACTGAAGTTAAACTGATGTGACAAATGGACACTTGAATAATAATAATTTGATTTGGACATAGCACGGTTTTGTGAATGGGAAATCCTGTTTGACAAACCTGTTGGAAAGTTTTTGAGGATGTTACTAACAAAATTGAAAAAGGGGAGTCGATGGATGTAGTATACTTGGATTTTCAGTCAGTTTTTCAAGTTAAAAAGAAATCCACACTCATCATTCGAAATCCTGTTTGACCACATGAATTGCTCATTATCATCTTTTTAAAGGGGAAACATTCTATTTCACTGAGAACTCCTGCTGAGGTTGGAAGCTGCAAAGATTTTGCAGGTCTATTGCTCTGAAGTTAATCTGGCTGAAACATGCAATTTGGAGATCGTTGTTGTGCTAGCTCAATAAAAACCTCTGTGCACGACTGGACTATTATCTACAGGGTTATCAGCAATTTCTTAGATAAAAATACCCATTTCAGTGGTTCCATTTAGTGAGTTAGCCTGACTTGTTAGTCAATAATCAAAAGAACACAACAGCCCTGTGAAATTGCCCACCAGGGAGAATAATCTTTTTCCTGAATGCCCGACAAGTGTATCATCTTGAACTCTTAAAAGGGATAGACAGAGCAGATGCAGAAAGAATGTTTTCCCTCGCTCTGTGGTCTAGAATAAATGACAAGCCATTTAGGACTCAGATGAGGACAACTGTCTTCAGTCAAGGGTGGTGAGTCATTAGAATTCCCTACCCCAAAGGCCTGTGGAAGCTCAGTCATTCATGAAGTTCAATGCAGCTTTTCCAATGACATCAAGGGTTTTGGGGACGGCCTAGGGAAATGGTATTGAAGCAGATGATTAGCCACGATCGGGAATGGTGGGATGGGCTTTACTTGAACAGTGCTGGGATCAGTGTCCTGGCAAATCGAATACGGCGGGCTGCTGGGAGGGCTATAAACTCAGGGGTGTTTGGGGGGGGGGGGGGGGGGGGGGGGGAGCGGTAGGAAGAGGGCTTGGGATGGGAGGAATGTAGGCATACAAAACAAGAGGAAATGGCAGTATTACAGGACAGCTATTTGGATACCAAAACCCAAGTGAGACAGGAAAGGGCACCAGTGCACAAACATAGAAAAACAACTGTAAATAGGGTCAAAAGGGAGAAAAATAAATGGTAAAAAGACAAATCTAATGGCTCTTTACTTGAACGTGTGTAGCATTCAGAACAAAATTAATGGCACAAGTACAGGTTAATTGGTATGATCTGATACAGAAACACGTTACAAAGAGATCAGAGCTGGGAACTAAATATTTAGGGGTATGTAACTTTTCTAAAGGACAGGCAGGAACAAAAGGATGGTGGGTAGCACTGTTGGTAGGGGTTGAATAAGTACTACAGCAAGAAATGATCTCAGATTGTAAAACATAGAATCCATTTGAGTGGAGGTAAGAAACAAAAAGGTAAGATGACACTATGAAGATGGTCTATAGGCCCCCTACCAAGGGCCATATGGTGGATTAGAAAATAAGTCAGGAGATAATGAGGGCCTGTAAACAAAGGCAATACATTAATTATGAATGAATGTAATCCTCTTTTAGGAGGATATTGGCAGAGGTAGCCATGAGGAAAAATTTATAAAGTGTTTCTGGGACAGTTTCAGAGAACAACATGCTATGGATCCAATCAGGGATCCAAAATCACACCAAGGCGATGAAACATTCAGCAGGTTGCCAACAAACATGGTTCAGATCTGTCACTTTGTTCACTAAGATCACTGAGCACCCAAGTTGCCTGGTGAGTTACACTCCCTGCCTGAAACGTGCAAGGACTTTGGCAGCATCCTGCTGAGATTAAAGAGGAGCTTGTGTTGAAGAAATTAATGACATTAATTGCTGCAATACATGAAAATGATTTTTGTACCCATACTACAAACAGCTTCAAGCGGCAAGTTTTGAAGTCTCAAAGTTTCCTCATTAGCTAAATGATACGTCAAAGCATTTTCTCCAGTGGCAATCAATCTGATTTGCTAGATGTCACAATCCAAAATTATCTTTCAAACTTGTACACTACAATCTGCATCAATATGTCCTTCTGCAGTCCTTCATGATCCTACCCACAATTTTTTACTTTGGCATTATTTACAATTACATTACACATATCCAGATAACTCATGTATTTAATAAGTAAGAGTGCTTCCCCACCCCCGCCAACTCCCCCACATAAACCCAGCCTCTTTCCCTCCAATGCACACTACTGTTGAACATCATTCACCACATTTTTCAAGTCGGAGAAATTTCCTTCCATATCCATTTTGCAATTTTACTTTCCAGCCAAGTCTCATAAATTTTACATCTATTCTTCTCATTGTAAGTCTTCTTAAAGAACAGAAAATGCCATCAACAATCCAACAATGTTAGTGTCACATTTCTGGCATGCACAGGGAAATGGAGAGCTCAGCTTAACTGCAAGCAGTACAACACGGCAGCCAGTTAGCTCTGCTACCAATAATCCAGTGTTTCTAGAGACAGACAACTAAACCACTGGAAAGGTGGCATTTTCTGCCTTTAAAAATATGGACAGTGATTCTGACAGACAGCTGAGGAAACATTGTCCTACTGTCTTTCAATTAATATAATCTTCAGTATATAGGATAA